ACAATTACAAAAGCCCCAAGATGACAGATTCATCACTTGGAGGACCAGGAGAAGCCACATCAGGGATTCTTAGTGTTAAACAAGAAGGATGTGGACCTGTTGGAGCAAGGCCAGAGGATGCCACAAAGATGCTGCGAGGGCTGGAGCAGCTCTCCTCTGGAGCCAGGCTGAGAGAGCTGGGCTGGTTCAGCCTGGAGAAGAGAAGGCTCCTTAAGGGGAGACCTTAGAGCAGCTCCAGTGCCTAAAGGGGTTCCAGGAAACCTGGAAGAGGGGCTTTGGACAAGGGATGTAGGGACAGGCCAAGGGGAATGGCTTTAACCTGCCAGAAGGGAGACTGAGCTGAGCTCCTAGGCAGAAGCTCTTCCCTGTGAGGGTGCTGAGGCACTGGCACAGGGTGCCCAGAGAAGCTGTGGCTGCCCCATCCCTGGCAGTGTTCAAGGCCAGGTTGGACACAGGGACCTGGAGCAAGCTGCTCTAGTGGAAGGGGTCCCTGCCTGTGGCAGGGGTTGGAACTGGATGAGTTTTCAAGTCACTTCCAACCCAAACCATTAGATGATTCTATAATGTCAGCCAAGAGCAGAAGCAACAGCCATCGCCTGTGTTACAGAAGGTTTCATGGCCTGTGCTGTGGAGCAGTGACAGGAGAGGCTGAGCATGATCTCACTGAATGGGCGAGTGATGAGTCTGAAATAAAACATGAAACCTGCCTTGGTTTTAAAATCCTTGTTCCATCAGGCATAGGGAACCTGTGAAGGCCACTAAGGAAATACTGGCACAGAGAGGCAGCTGCTCCATCACATGTGCTCAAGAGTCGGGAACATTTGAATGCCTTAAATCTGCACAACAACGATTCTGCCATTTATCATCATTTCTTACAGGGGAAAAAGGAGAACGGGGAGAATGTAGGGTAAGGAGAAGCTTTAGACAGCAGCATGTGCTGTACCTCCAAAGACATTACTAGATGTATTCTGCACTGCCTCGCTCTAGAAACCTCGTGATAAAAATGCCGGCACAGTTTGTAAGACCACAGGATGTTTGTTCTGTAGGGAGACAGGAGGTCTCTTCTTCCCTTGGGACTGCCCCACGGTCAGCTGTGGAGGAGCTGAATGTCATTCCATGCTTTTGCCTGTTTTCCAACCCTTCCCTTAAATTACTAAGGGAATTTTACTTGTGTTGGCCTGGACCAGAGCTATTCATACCTGAGAACAACTTCTTACACAGTCACTAGCAGTGATTCATGACTTCATATAAACAGTAATTAGCAGGAGATGGTTACATTATGAAACCTTGTAGTGTGCAAACATAAATATCTCCTAGTAAAAACTTAATTTAGAGGGGAAATGAAGATGTTCTTATGGTTAATACCTTAAAATAAAAGCTGCTGCTGTCTTATTTTGAAGTCTGCTCTGGTGTAATTAAGAGTTGTCATTTAGTCGGTGTTAGTGTTGAACTGAATCACAGCGCTGCTTTGGGACTCCTCCTGGGAATCCAGGTGCCATCCGGAGCACAGTGTGATCAAAGTAATGAATTGCAGTCTTGCTGTGACACAGCAGAAGACAAAGTGGATGCGTGGAAGGAATCACAGTGCAGAGATAACAGATTGCATTGCGCTCACTTCCTGCCCCACTGCCGTGGCAGGATACCCTCCTGTAGGTATAGCAGCCAGGCTGATTTATGAAGGAGGAATCTGACCCATTGGAGAGCTCAGCAGTGCTGTAAAATTGTGGTTAAAACCAGCAGTAGGAGGTGAAAAGGCTGTAATTTGTTGAAGAAGACCCTCAATATGTATGAACAGCAAGGTCTCATTCCTGCTCTGAAGGACTGTAATGTCTCAGCAGATTTGCTAGGAATGAATACTGCTGACAGCCGGCTGTACGTGCCTCCCAGATGGACGCGTCCTGTCTGCTTCTCTCGCTTCGTGGGTTTGTGTCCCGAGCCTGCTGACAGCCTCCTCTTGGGGCCCAGGCCTTTAAAAGTGTGTTTTGTCATGGTCTATCAAGCTTCTGCTACGCTCGGGTCATCGCAGCTCCACTCTTTCCTTTACACTCTTGTCTGTGTTGACTCTGGGCCTCATCCTGCCTTTCTGGCTGCCCTTCAAGCTTCATTCAGTCACCGCCTTCCCTACCTCAGTTCTTAACTTGGGGTTCCTGCCTTCTGGAAATACCAGCCCCAGCCCAAGAGCTGGGTCTTGCATCTCCCCATTGTGCTCTCCTGCACAGCGTGCACCTCTGTTTGGGGTACCAGTGGCAGAGCTGTGCAGTTGGCTTGAAGGATACAGAGGATATGAGGCTATCTGTGTGTAGCATCTTATGTATTCACCAGGGGACTTGTGTGGTTTTCCAGCTTAGGAAATTCTCATCCATTTATTTAACAGCCCTTGTGTGTTGCTCTTGCTGATCCTTGCGTTTGCAGACAGTTATCACTGAGTCAGTGTTGGTAGGAATGTCACCAAGCAGAACCAGCCTTGCACCGCAGCTTGGGGGTGGTTTTGGTGGTTGACACTGTGTTATCTCATGCTCTGAATCCCAGCGCGTACCTTGGCATCCGTGTGTAATGAATCAGGCCCAGCATTGCCACAGCCTGGGCAGGAGGGAGGGATTCTTGTGGAGTGCTTGGCTTTCTTCCCGCATCCCCATCCGTGTCCATGCATGAGCCTTCCTTTGCCGGGCTGTGATCGCACTGGAGTTGTAGGGGAGCCTGGCTTGGATTTCCTGCCTTCCTGTCGAATCAGTCCCCTGTGGTGGAGGCATTTTCCTTCCTCATGGAGGGAGGTTATGGTCCATCTCATTGTGCTGGTTTAGGGGGAAAGCATCGCAGCGTAGCTCCTTGCTGAGGTGGTGTATCTGCTCCTTGCAGCTCTCTGCTGGCTGTCTGTTCCAGGTGTTACTGATGGTGTAACTCCTTGGAGTATCTTCAGTCACTGCAGCACCCTGTGATAAGGGAGCTTAATGGGCTTGACAGGATCAAAGCGTTTTCATGGTGAAATGATTATAGCTTAATTTCTGAAAGTGGATTTTCTGTTTCTTATTGTCCCTCTTGAAGCAAACCCAGGCTGTTAAAACACATCCTCCTGCAGGAAACAGGGGAGGGAAGAAAGTATATCAGGGTGCTTTAAAACACCACCCAAGAGGCCACCACCTTTTCTGACAGTGGAATCATTTAGAAAGCAGAATCATTTGACTTTCCTGATTCACTATAAAAATAAATCTCCCTGCAGATACAGTTTGGGTAGGAAAGCAAGACCAGAAGTGTGTATACTGCTGTTCTGTGCTCTGCCCGCATGTGTATTACCTTTTCCACAGAATACAGTAATATTCATGTTCATAAATAATCATTCAGAGTTTAGGGCAGAGAACCTTTACCAGTGGTGATCGGACCAACACATGGAGGATGGCAATTTCTCATTTTTTTTATTGGCACTTTTCACCATCAAAGCTTAGAAAATAATGGGATTTGTTGTTGTTTGTGGGGTTGTATTGAGTGGTGGTTGGTTGGTTTTATTAACATGTCCTCAGTGGGAGGTGTATTTTGGTCCTGTCCCACTCCACACTTGATTTCATGGGGTCAATCTGATCAGTTCTTCACTGGTTTACTCGTGCAGCTTAGATATCCAGACCCAGCAAGCATGACTGTTGAAAACATATTTTGGTGTGATTTCATCTACATAGCAGCCCCTCTAGTGAGTATTACAAGTATAAAGAACAAACTGTGCTCCTGGGTGACCTGATAATGTAGAAAACACTTGGCTTTGGATTTATCCCTCCGAATCCCAAAGAGGGATTCAGCACTGGGTGAAGGGAGTAGGCGGAGACTGATGCTGAGCAATGAAAAGCAATTTCATGGTGCAAGGGGCTGGGTGCAGCAGGGCTGTTTCCTGTCCCCATGGCTTGGAGCAGCTTGGTCTAGCAGAAGGTGTCCCTGCTGGTGGCAGGGGACTTGAAATTGGATAAGCTTTAAGGTCCTTTCCAACCCAAACCAATCTGATTCTATGAAAGCCGCACTGATGCGTTGCTTTGTGTGAGGTGCTGTGACCCCACTCAACAAACTCATCCAGAGGGAATATAACCCCTCAAAAATTCCAAGGTTTTCCCAACTTGTTGTCCCGGGTTTGTGCCAGCACAGCTCCCCATGGGCAGAGTGGCACATCAGAGTGAGGGGGCACAACTACCTGGAGCATCACTGCCCCAAACACTCGAATCATGGCCCAGAGAGGAGGGCTTGTGGGAGCAACCTCAACAAAATTCCCTGGTGGACTTGGACTTGCCTGGTACTTCCTGAATATTACAAGCCTGATGTGCCGCAGTGTGCAAAACCCTTCTGCAGCTGGGTTTTACTCACTTGTGAAGCTTAGTTTTTAGGCATCTCTTTTCCTGGAAGTGTCTTAGGGTTCCAAAAAATGTGGAAAGCTCATTGTGTGAGCCTGCTCACTGCTGCTCTCTGCTTCAAGAGCAGCAGCAGGAGGGAGGGCAACTAAAAAGGCACAGCCTTCTGCTCGAATAAGAAGAGAAATGATAAAAAAATACCATGAAGAATAGATGTATCTCATTCTTAAATACCATGTCTCCTGTATCTTGCCTTGCCTGCCTCTCTCTGCTGCACATTGTGGCCATTTCATTTATAGCCTAATTAAGGGATTTACCTTTTAAAGGTCTTGGGTTTGTTTTCAGATTGAAGCATGCCAGCAGTTAGGCATGAGCCAGAGGATTTACCAGCAGCAAACAGCCTACGTGAGCAGCATTTACTGGAGGGACCAGGGAGAGGGGCTTTCCTTCTGTGTCATGAGAGTGGGAGCTGGGGGCTCGTGGCAGCCTGGGGACAAGGGTGTCTTGCCTATGTGGCAGGAGATGTGCATGGAAGAGCTGTCTGTCCTGTGATGCATGAGGAGCACACGTGTCAAGAAATAATGCAAATGAGGAACTCGGAGTGTGTGGGTTAACCAGATGGCTTTTATCAGCAAAAATGAACCTGCTTTCTCCTCTCTTTCTCTCTTCCTCCTCCAGAAGCCCTTCAGAGACCGGTAGTGTCAGACTTTGAGCCCCAGGGTCTGAGCGAAGCAGCTCGCTGGAACTCCAAGGAAAACCTTCTGTCCTGCCCTAGTGAAAATGACCCCCATCTCTTTGTTGCACTGTATGATTTTGTGGCGAGTGGGGACAACACTCTCAGCATAACTAAAGGTAAGGTAGCTGGGCAGAATGGTGCTGGGAGGGTGTTTAGGCATGGAAGTCACTGTGGAATAAGTTATATGCTAAACCCTCAGGAATTTTTGTTTCACTGGGGGAATTCTTCTTAACCAAATACAGATATCTTACAAACCGTTTGAAGGTTTTGCATCGGGCAAGAAACGGATTGAGATATTAAACTAAGCTGGTTTTAGACACTGGCCCCGATAATTTTCATCGTTCAGTCCCGGTATGAAAATGACTGTACCGATACAGCATTGTCTTACTCAGTCCTGTTCCTCATGTGTACTCCAAGTCACATCTGCTTACCTTGCTAATTGAAATGCTTGTACACTGTTTAACCAGTCCTGTTCTCTCCCAGCCCCATGAAGCCAACTCAGCTCAAACAAAATTTGCTGGATTAAGTTTTTAAGCTCAAGCCATGTCAGAGCTGGTGCAGAACTGCTCGAGAGCTTAACAAGCTCCTGAAGCATGTGTGTGACTTCATTTGGCTTCGAGGGGACTACTCAAGCTTAAAGAAACACACATGCTCTCCTGTAGGAGACTATTTCATGACCTGTTAGCCACAAAGAACCAGTTGTTGTGCTCAGCTTCCAGCTTTGCCATGTGTAAATGTATTTTCTTCTTGTGCCAAGGTGAAAAGCTCCGTGTCCTGGGCTACAATCATAATGGGGAATGGTGCGAGGCCCAAACAAAGAACGGACAAGGCTGGGTACCCAGCAATTACATCACCCCAGTGAATAGTTTGGAGAAGCATTCCTGGTATCATGGACCAGTGTCACGTAACGCTGCGGAGTACCTTCTGAGCAGCGGCATCAACGGCAGCTTTCTTGTGCGGGAGAGTGAGAGCAGTCCAGGACAGAGATCTATTTCACTGCGATACGAAGGAAGGGTGTACCACTACAGAATAAACACTGCATCTGATGGAAAGGTAGGCTGCAGGCTATCCAAACCATGAAAGAAAACCTTCCCTGTGTACTTTGTCCACTGACTGCACAAGGTCAAGCAGTAGCACTTGAATTGATCAGTTCTGAGCTCTGATCACAGTGTTCATCATCTGCAGTTATAATAAACTTGGGAGATTTCAACATGGCTGTGACAAAACAGTTTTACTCCTTTAGAAAACTTCTGATGAGCTATAATACAGCTCAGTTGTGAAGCACTTTAGGGTAGGAGATACTAGAGTTACATCAGAGGTGAAATGAATAGATAACACTAATGAGAGATCCTGAGGATGGATTCTTATCCCACATATTCAAAAGATAATCTCTTTGACTGCCAAATCAGAAAAGTCAGTGCCTGTTGCTAATAATCTTGTACTTATTAGAGGCAGAATGCTTTCTGAGCTATTCTGCAGTATTTTTAACTACTGTTTTGATTTCTCTACAGTATTTCAGCGTGAACATTGGATACGGGTAGGCATTTTCACTTCTATATGGGCCCTGTCTCTAGTTTCTTCATTTTCCCCCCAGCTAGCTGTGTGCTGTGGCAGTGTTGCAATGCTACGCTTTGTGGATGCTGCAGAGATATATTAGGATAAAAGTGTAGTTTTCCACAGATTTTTGTTTAGATTTTCACAGAAACATTTCTACTGGCATTGGAGATTGGAAAATCTTTTTCTTTTTTAAACAAATCTATTTTAAGCAGTGTCTCTTTAGATCCTGTGCAGAAGCTGAAGTGTGAGTCTGGAGCAAGGCTGCTGAGGCTCTTCTTGCCAGCATCTCGTAGATGACAGATTCTATGCCATTAAAGTACTTCCACAAAAAAAAGATATTTAAGAATCAAGTATAGCAGGGGCCCACCATGGCTGATGTTCTGCGAGAGCTGTGGTCTTCTTACAGCAGTGGCGACAGCAGAATCTTTTATATGAGAACAGAGGGAACCAGTATGGATATTTTCTATTTATCAGACTCATCACTCTAAAAGCTTTAATAAAATGAACAGATACCATTCAATAGTGAAATGCTTTGCATTTGCATTAGCAAACAGATTGTGAGACAATTCTGACCATGTTATTTAAAGCAAAGTATTTCCAAGTTACGGTGCTTTGATTCTTCCTTTTCCCTCCCATGTAGACACACTCTGTGGTCAAAATTGCACTGGGAAATGCTGACGTGCAGCATACTTGAAGAACTACATGGCAATCTGGGGTATTATTCCTCCTCCTGTCTCCCTAGTTGATATCCCTTCTATTCACATGGATGCTGGCAGACAAGCAGTGTTCACATGTGAACATCTTGAACCCGGGCCTCCTTCAGCTGGTGTAAATAAGCATGTGTCTGTGAGGTGGTAGCACGTGTTCTCCGTTTTAGCTGTAAAAGGGTTTGGCATATGAAGGCTTTCATCCCAGCAGAGCTGTTTTTATCCCCCAAAACCAAGTTCTGCAGGGGTACAATAAGCTCTTCAGGTCTGTCTTAGCCAGGTTAACTGTTCATTTTCCACAGTGTTGATGAACTGGTGGTTTTGAGCAAAGGTGCAGGTCAGTACAGTTCACTAAAGCAGATCTGCAGCTCGTGAGGGTTGGAAGTACAAAATGGAAAAAGTGGCAATAACAGAGAGCTGTGGTTCCTGGGCTTTGGCTCCTCATGCAGGGGCAAATGAAGAGGTAGCCCCCTTCCTCCTGGTTGCCGTTCCAAGGCCCAGCATCCCTGCAGAAGGGGCAGTTTGCCACATCCCTGCAGAAGGTGCAGTTTGCCACATCCCTGCAGAAGGGGCAGTTTGCCACATCCCTGCAGAAGGGGCAGTTTGCCACATCCCTGCAGAAGGGGCAGTTTGCCACATCTCTGCAGGAGGGGCAGTTTGCCACATCCCTGCAGAAGGGGCAGTTTGCCACATCCCTGCAGAAGGGGTAGTTTGCCACATCCCTGCAGAAGGTGCAGTTTGCCACATCCCTGCAGAAGGGGCAGTTTGCCACATCCCTGCAGAAGGTGCAGTTTGCCACATCCCTGCAGAAGGGGCAGTTTGCCACATCCCTGCAGAAGGGGCAGTTTGCCACATCCCTGCAGAAGGGGCAGTTTGCCACATCCCTGCAGAAGGGGTAGTTTGCCACATCCCTGCAGAAGGGGTAGTTTGCCACATCCCTGCAGAAGGGGCAGTTTGCCACATCCCTGCAGAAGGGGCAGTTTGCCACATCCCTGCAGAAGGGGTAGTTTGCCATCCCTGCAGAAGGGGCAGTTTGCCACATCCCTGCAGAAGGGGTAGTTTGCCACATCCCTGCAGAAGGGGCAGTTTGCCACATCCCTGCAGAAGGGGCAGTTTGCCACATCCCTGCAGAAGGGGTAGTTTGCCATCCCTGCAGAAGGGGCAGTTTGCCACATCCCTGCAGAAGGAGTAGTTTGCCACATCCCTGCAGAAGGGGCAGTTTGCCACATCCCTGCAGAAGGGGTAGTTTGCCATCCCTGCAGAAGGGGCAGTTTGCCACATCCCTGCAGAAGGGGTAGTTTGCCACATCCCTGCAGAAGGAGTAGTTTGCCACATCCCTGCAGAAGGTGCAGTTTGCCACATCCCTGCAGAAGGGGCAGTTTGCCACATCCCTGCAGAAGGGGTAGTTTGCCATCCCTGCAGAAGGGGTAGTTTGCCACATCGCTGCAGAAGGGGCAGTTTGCCACATCCCTGCCTCAGGTGCTGCGGTGTTAAACTGCATTGGTTTCAATCTGTGTTAATGAGCCAAGCAGTGAATTGCGACAGCTTAAGAGGCAGGCGTGCTGCCTGCTCTACTGCTTCTGCTGCCCTGTCCCCAGCTGTCGAAGCAGAGGAGCTAGGAAGAGAAACAGCTAATATCCCTTGCTTTTCCCACTGCAAAATAGAGACTGCTGGAGCAGGTTCCTTGCTCCAAGCTGCTCATGTCACACTCTATTACCCACTTCACAGCAGAGCATGGCTCTGATGGAGGAAAGCTCTTACCTTCAACTCCCTGAGCACCTGAGGCCTTCTCAGCCTGCTGTATCATTAGTCAGCTTGTCCAGGGAATTTAGTGTCTGCAAGTGCTGCAGTAAGGATGAATGGCTTTGGTGGACCATATCCTGTGACTGAGAGAACGCACTAAGGGGAGAAAGAGGTATTAGAGGGACATGAGGAGCAGCTGCTGCTCAGCATGGAGATGTGCCATGCATCACACAGCAGTACCCAGGCTTTTTCCTGGAGGAAAATGGAAGGGACAAGGAAGAGATTGGAAATGTGTACACCTTATATTTAGCACTGTTCATACTGAATGCATCGGGGTTCAACAACTTAAAACCATAAAATCCTCAGGGTATTTTTACTTTCTTTCCCAGTTTAATGGGTTGTATTCTTCTGGACTACCTTTTAATGTTTTGGTTGGTTGTTTTTTAAGGAAGGCATTCAAAATGACCTTTCTTGATTTGGCTGGCACAGTCCAGCTAGTCATCTGGTAAACCACTTCCGTGGTGCACAGGACTTGGTTTTCCTGACTTGATAATACTTGAGGCAAAGCCTCCTATTGAGTAACCCAACTGAGTAAACAGCGTTGTCCTTCCAGTTCCTCCAGTCCTGCTATCCTCAGCATTCAGGGTGATGGATGCATGACCTGTTTGAGTCTCTTGGAGCCCCCAGCCGCTGACCTGGATGCAGACTTGCACCTTTGTCATGGACCTTCATGGATGGTTTTTTGGTGTGGCTGTTCAGTTTTGTCTGTTGCCTGGGGAGGGGGAGTCCCATCATGGTAAAGATGCACTGGAGGTTTGCATGGAGCAGTTTAATCATCCTTGTAAAGCACAGGAGAGAGAGGTGTGATCTGGTGGCAGAAGCTGCAATGGGCAGCCCGCTTGTACAAGCAGAGCCCCTTGGAACAGGACTGGTGTTATGGTTTGACTGTTGATGTATAAAGATTACCCAAATAACCACAGAATCATTGGGGTTGGAAGGGACCTTTGGAGATCATTTAGTCCACCCCCCTGCCGAGACAGGGCCACCCAGACCAGGTTGCACAGGAACATGTCCAGGCAGGTTTTGAATGTCCCCAGACAGGGAGGCTCCACAATTCCCCTGGACAACCTGTTCAGTGCTCTGCCACCCTCACTGTAAAGTTCTTCCTCATGTGGAGGTGAAACTTGTGTTTTAGATCTCCAGGAAGCAAACTTTGAGAGTCCCTACATAGCCTCATGCACTGCAGAAACGCTGAGTCTGTAACCTCTGTATGAGTACAGTTAGCAGCACCAGATGGTTTTCTTGGGGGAAATTATCCTGCAAGCAGCTTGAGTTAAGGCTTGGTAATGGGGTCAGTGGAGAAGGGAGGTTGCAGTGAACTCATTGGGCTGCATCTCAGCATGCCCTTCATAGCTGCTCCTTCCTTCGTCTTCTTGTGATACGTGCTTCAAATTCCAGATGAAGGTTTAAACACAGCATAACTCTGATTTCCAGGAGTGCTGATGGGAAGTCAGGCCTTCAGGAGTCAGTGTTGAGATGTGATCAGTGACAGGTTAGAATCTGCCTACAGAATGAGCACATTTAGTGGGTGGATGTGGTTTTTTAAGGTAAATGGAAAACTTCATGTGTGTTTAAGGCATGGAGTGTTGTCTTGTGGGTTGGACAGGGTAATCCTCTTCCATTCCCCATCCTGCTGCAGGATTGCTGTAAACCCTTTAGCCATGTATTTAATTTCTCTCTCCATCTGTAACAAATCATATAATCTGTCACACAAAGTACAGATACCTCTAATTCCAATGAGATTTTGAGATCATCAATACAAACCATCATAAAAGCACGGCCAGCTTCCCTCTCCATACTTCTCTAATACCTCCAAGTGATCCAGGAGGTCTGCATAATTTTCTACATCCACGCTTACATATTTTAGTCCTCAATGTAACGTGTGAACTGCTTTTACCACTGCCAATACTAGAAGTCGTTCCCAAACAGGTATGGCTTGGTTTAGATTGTGGTTGTACTGGGTAATTCTTGGTGGTCCAAGCCACACAGCTGTACAAACCTCTCCTGTTGTCACTTTTCTGTTCTCAGACCATCTGTTTTTAAGGTGATTTCACCTCTTTGATCAGGAAAGGCTTTTAGGCTTAAAATGGATCTTAATGTAAATGTTGAAATGGTAACAAATACAGATCTAACCTTACAGCAGGTTTTGATTCAGTGGTAATGGTTTTACTTCTGTGTTATTGACCAGTGCCCATCACAAGAATGGAGCAGACCACTTCCCTTAACTTCATGCAAAATGCTATGCAGAAGCTTCGGCCAAAAGCAGGGAAGCCACCAGTTTGCTAGTGACACTCCAAGGAGAATTTAGGCAGGTGAAAATGTCATAACCCAGATGGCAATAATGGCATCAAGGCACTGAGGATGACAACTCCCTGTTCTCCAGGAAATGTCCCACAGTCTTTACTGACCAGCCTGTTGAAAAAAGACACTTCAAGCAACAGCATGCCAATCGAATGCTGTTTGCAGCCATTCCTCCCATACTGTTTCAGTGAAGTGCATGTGTTTTCTCCTGAATCCATACCCTTCCCATGAAAGCACTGATTGTTCACAGCTCTGAGAGCTAGTTCCAGAGCTTGTGGAGCTCATGGTGCTGCAGCTCAAGTGGAAGCAACTTTGCTTTCTCAGTTTTATAATGTAGTTTCTGCGTATGGATGCTCCAACATGCATTGTGTGTATGAGCTTCCTCTTTCTCTTTGGTTCCTAGCTGTATGTCTCTTCAGAGAGCCGCTTCAACACCTTAGCAGAGCTGGTCCATCATCATTCAACTGTCGCAGATGGGCTCATCACCACGTTGCACTACCCAGCACCCAAACGCAACAAGCCCACTATTTATGGTGTGTCTCCAAACTATGACAAATGGGAGATCGAGCGAACTGACATCACCATGAAACACAAGCTTGGTGGAGGGCAGTATGGAGAGGTGTATGAAGGAGTCTGGAAGAAGTACAACCTTACAGTGGCTGTGAAGACTCTAAAGGTAGGACTCAAATCTCAGAGTATTCCAGTTCATCTCCGTTAAGCAAAGCATGTTCAGGCTGGCTGCTGCCCTGGTTAAACAGTTTGGGTCAGTGACTCCCTTCCTTTGTGTGCTGTAGGCTTGGAAGAGAGTATCTTTGTAAGACCTTGATCCTGTTATGGTTTTATGTGATACCCAAAACACCCGTATCTAAACAAAGGAGGACATTAACAGCATAATTTTTACTTTAGAATAGATGAAACCATAGCAAAATAAAATAGAGTCCTAATGTCTTGCGTTCAGGGTGTGGCAAAGGTGAGCTGTTCATGGATGGATACACTAACACAAGCTGGTGTCTTAGGGAAAATTGTGGATTGTGAGTCAGTCAACTTGAAATCCAAAGGCTGTGCTTCAGGGAGGCTTTACATGCTTTGGTTTTGTGTCTTACGTGGCATCTTTCCCAAAAGACAAGCTCTCTGTGTACCTGGAAGACTTAAGCAATTCTTCACAGCTGCTTCTTCTCAAAAGAGAGAAGTGGAGGAAAAAGTGTATCCAAGCTAAAATACACTCAAATGTATAAGTGGCTTTAATGAAGAGCTGGATTATCAGCTCTGTTTCTGGCTCTGCTCCCTGATTTGTGTGCCTTGGTTTCCTTGCCTCTTGAAATGCAAATAATGCTTTAGGAGTTCATCAGGTCATTGCTTAATTCATTTATGTTTATAGAAATGTCTTGCGATCTTCTGGCACCATCCACACACATTGCATTTGATTGCTTAATAAGAGTTTATGTTAACTTGACACCGTGTTCTCTCCTCTGATGGGGATGTGGTTTGGTCTTGCAGAAACAAACAGAGCAGGGGATTTTGTTTGTTTCTTTTCTGGTTTTTTTTTGCAGTGGAAAATGTGAAGTGGAGGGAACTGTGGGGATGCGTTAGGGTCAGGGGAAGAGCGTTTCCTTGATTTGGGGAAAATATTTCTTCCTTACTCTCTGAGCAGGGGCTACCGCAGTATTTCGGGGTTGCTATGGTTGCAGGAAGTATTTTCGTTTTGGCCTTTTTTGTGCTCTGAAGATTCCTGTTGCTGCCTGGAGGAGAGTCCAGCTGCTTGCTTGCACAGGCAGCGAGTGACACCTAGTGTTATCCCTGCTTGTACCCAGCGCTGGGGACCGGCAGGGCTTACTCCGGAGCATGGCAGTGCAGGAGCTGGGATGTGACCAGGTTGAACAAAATGCCAGCGAAAAGGAGAGAGCAGCTCTTTCCTGGAACATCTTTTGCTATAACATCTCCTTTCCTGCTTCTGGTTGCAGTGTGAGGATACTCGATGTCTTCAGACTTCTCACTTCACTCCAAGCCAGTCATTGCTTTCATTCTCTTCTCTCCAAAACCCATCAACAAATGCAGATTGCATGTTATCCCATCAAGGTTGTTGTGCATAAGGAGAAACCTTAATACATACCATGGCTGTTTCAAATACATCAAATAAATATTTAATGAAACATGACTAAAAGTGCTTCATAATGTAGTACGGAGCAGCACGTTCCACTGGGGAATATAAGAATAACTAAGGAGAGAGTTGCGAAAACACTTCAACCTGCAATTATGCATACTAAAATCATCCTTAAAAGCAAATTTATAATCTTACCTTCCTTGAATCCATCAGTCTGCTGCTTGACAGGTGGGATTGTCGCTTGCTTCAAAGTTTTGGGAAACACTTTAAAATCCCATTTGTATCCCAGTTCTACTGGGGAAAACAAGCTCTGTGCAGCTTCTGCACAAGCATTCGAGTGACTCACTCTGTTTTCCTCAGAGATAATATCTTTCGAAACTTTATATGACTCTGCTTGTTCCTTCCCCATCTGTTCCAGATACCTCTATAAGATAAAGGAGATGGAAGAACTAAAAGAGGAAAAGAAGAATCCTTGCAGCATCTTTTTTAATAGCAATGCTTACGAACACCCATTTGTTGTTCAGTTTTCTATCAAGTGTCTAAACGTAGCTCATAGTTGGCGCAGAACTCTAGTTCACACAAGAAAGCAACCGAAGCAGCACGCGCTGTTCCTCGCTTGCATTTAACTGGGAAGTGCTAGACAATGTTTTGGTGCCTAGATGTTTCCCAGTAAAACGTATCAATGGAAGCTCAGTTTGTTGCACAGGACACAAGGGTCTGCTGCTACGACAGGACACACTCTGTGGGATTGACACCTGGTGTTGATGGAAAGGGGCAGGAGTGCAGCTTTATGACCTGCATAGCATTGCACCAGTGCATCCTGCTGTGACTGTGGGCAAAGTATGAGGGCCATTTAATGGCTGAACTGTTGTGAGCTGGTCACTTCAGCACATTTCTTACTGCGCATCTCAAGTCTGCATTCATTAGGGCTGCCTCTTCCTTAGAATCATAGAATAGTTAGGGTTGGAAAGGACCTTAAGATCATCCAGTTCCAACCCCCCTGCCATGGGCAGGGACACCTCACACTAAACCATCTCACCCAAGGCTCTGTCCAACCTGGCCTTGAACACTGCCAGGGATGGAGCATTCACAGCCTCCCTGGGCAACCCATTCCAGTGCCTCACCACCCTAACAGGAAAGAATTTCCTCCTTATATCCAATCCAAACTTCCACTGTTTAAGTTTGAACCCATTACCCCTTGTCCTATCACTCCAGTCCCTAATGAAGAGTCCCTCCCCAGCATCCCTATAGGCCCCCTTCCTTCCATTTCCCCTCCCTCTTTTACACTTTATTTTTTTCCCAGCAGAGAAGCCTGTGTTTTAAATGAGGCAACTTGTAGCCCTGATGTCTCTTAATGCCATGGCAGGCTCCTGTGCTCTGCTAGGAATATATTGTATAGCCACAACTGTCTTCCTTCTTCCGTGGGTTTGTGCAGTGGAAGATGGAGGCTGGTTAAGCTTGGTCCTTTGCATGAGATCAGATTTTCAGAGAGATCATTGTTACAGTAGTTCTCTGTATGTGTCCTTCCTATCAATTTGGTCACTGTGAGGTAGGAGATTTGAAACAGTGGAGCAGCTATGCAGAGGAGCAGCCTTTCAGAGCCTGTAAAGCATGCACAAGATAAATGCATATTTAGGGTAATTTTGCAACCTGGATTATTAACCCAGTTTCCTTTGCCAAAGAGAACACTTTAAGGTTCTGCTCACAAGGACCTTTGGGCTATTAGTTTTGACAGAGTGTGTTCAGCAAATCACAGCTGCCAATCAAGTTAATTGGCAATGAATAGTAAATGATTGAATGAAGCTGTTGGAAAAATGTTCCCATTGCTAACTGCAAAGCGGAGAGCTGGCTGCATCTTGCAGCAGCAGCCCACTGTTATCATTCTCACCAGCAGCAGTAAATCCTTTCCAATCCTTCCTTAAAACACTTTGTCCATGTAGCCTGTCAACATTAATCCATCACTGAAAAAATATATGGATATAGAAAGAAACATTGCTTTCGGAACAGATCTGTATTTTTGCACCTCTTTGGAACGACCTTCCGGCCATTTGGGTCTTATTTGAGTCAGAAAATACATGTTTTGAGCAAGATTGCATCTTCCTCGGTTTTGTGTTGTGCCAAGTAACTTTATGGCATTCAACAAATAGGTAGTGACACGTCTGCCCAGAGCAGTTACGTCATGGGTCAGGCTCTAAATGCCAGGAATGAAATCTGGGAAACCTTGTGCTTTCAATTACGGAGCCATTGGCCTCCCTGTCTGGAAGGGAGGATTTCTTGCTCTTACCCAGTGAATCTGGGGACCCAGCTTCTGGAGTGTTTGATTGTGCCATGTCCTTCCTTTTATGTTCATTCTTATTTCTTCTCTTTTCTGTTTCTTGTCTTTTTGGGTTTTTTCCCCTGTTAAGAACAAGCACATTTTTCCTTTTCAGCTGCTGAGTGGTCCTGTGAGAGGCCCTTCACAAAAGGGATATGGATTTTCTTGCCCCCCAAAGCTCCATTAGAATAAGAATGATAAAAAAATATATATATTTTCTAAATCCAACAAAAACCCGCAGCGTTCTTAACTCCCTGGCATTGTGATGTGGCTACAGGGGAAATACTACCTTGAAAGAACTATGGCTTATGTTGTCAGTTTGCAGTTCTTTTTGTGTCCTCATACACAAATCTGTTCCTCCTCTGTGCATGCTGTCCTTGCCAAAGCTTTACCATTGTTCTGCAGGAGGATACCATGGAGGTGGAAGAGTTCTTGAAAGAAGCTGCAGTAATGAAGGAGATCAAGCATCCGAACTTGGTGCAATTATTAGGTAAGTGCTAAATACCAAGCAGAGGGATTTGGACTAAACCCTTGTGCAGTGATATGGATGTTAAGGAGCAGATAAGCTGCTTACCATACCAAGGCTTTAAATACAGACACTTATTGTCTGGCAAAATACACAGTTTGTACCACTAATGCATGATTTTTAATGATCTGGTCTCCCTAATGTTTCACTTGCCAGAGCTCGAAGCAGGAAATTAAACTTCTCTATTAACCAATTCGATGCAGAACTCATTCTTTCTGTGAGCCCCGTATTTCCACCCTCTGCAGGTATAAATTGCCCTAGAGGACAAAACCTGAAGATTCACTGATACTCTGAAACATTCATTGTAAACTTTATGTTGGTCCCTAGGGGTGTGCACACGGGAACCTCCTTTCTACATCATCACTGAGTTCATGACGTATGGGAACCTGTTGGATTATCTGCGTGAGTGTAACCGGCAGGAGGTGAATGCTGTGGTGCTGCTCTACATGGCAACTCAGATCTCCTCAGCCATGGAGTACCTGGAGAAGAAAAACTTCATTCACAGGTAGGAAGGGCGGTGAGCACCCCTGAATCTCAAGCACAAAACACCCTGTGACTTATTTTCCTGCCTTTCAGATCACCATGGCATTGACTTTGGTGTCCTGTATTTAACATATGAGTGCATTGTGTTCTGATACAGTACATTAACCTGTCTATAGGTTGGTCTTCTAATTGTTTTTCTCTCTGTTTTTCTCTTACCTTTGAAGTAGATGCAGGTGAAAGACATATCACTACTTTCTTCCTTAAGTGTAAATGCTTCCCGAAGTAACGGGCTCTTAATGGACCAGATAAAGTACTGCTCTTCCTTGATTCTAACAACCATTAACAACTGCAGCTGGTGTTGCTGGATGCGTGCACGTGCTCACAGCAGCAAAGCCACCCTCTCAGTGCCTTCTCATCCTCTGTTCTTTCTTATTTCTTTCAGTTTTTCCCATCCTCTGTAGGGATTGCTTCCCGCTATTGTCCAGATTGCACATTCGCTTTAATAAGCATCTCTGCAGTCGTAAAAGTCTTGGAGACTCTGACCTTTAAGTGTGCTGCAATTATGGCTGGAGCGTTGCGTTCTTCATCTGTAGAAATGGCCTCCTAGCAATATAATGACACATCCTGCGCCGAGGTTTGAGAGGCGCTGAGCTTTATACAATATGCTGCCTCTGCCACAGCATGACCTTTCCTGCCCAATTAACTGCAATGTGAAATTAGCACACGTTTTTTCATAGAGACAGATATGAAGATCGCGTGTAAAGTTGTAGGTGCTCCTCCAAGTCATGCATTGCCTTTGCTGCCTGAAAGGCCTCTTTAAATGCGTCTGTCAGTCAGTGAAGCGAACGGTGATTCTGCCAATTAAAATTTCCAGCCTTTGATTTGGATGTATTTCACCCCTTCAGCCTGTAGGAAGCAAACTTTATAAACTGCTTTGTATGAATCCCATTTGTCTGCTCTCCTTTTAATGTCATTTCCTCTTATTTCTGATGATCCATCTATCTAAAATAAATAGTAGTGATTTTCCTTATCAGCCACCCCCGTACCCACCTACCCAATTATTTTAAGAGTGTTGTCACAATTCACATCCATGGATTCAAATGCTGGGCTGTGACCTCATTTAATGAATCGGGAAGGAGGAGGAATTTGATTATGAAGAGGAGCTTTTATTTAGGCACACATTGTAGTAATCAAGCATTGATAAGAAGGTGTATTCAAAAACACTGTGAAAAATTAATGGGTACGTAGTAAGACGTGCTTTTATTTATTTATTTATTTATCCCAATTGAGCAGAACAAGCAAAAGAAGCAGCAGTGTCTGGCTCATATCTAAAGATCTCACTTGAGCCTGCTGGTAGAATCAATTTTTAGTTCAATGTGACATAATTTGGGATACTTAACAAAGCCTGCTATTAGGAGAAGTGTATTTGTGCTTTGTGTTTTTACACTCCAGAAGCATTTCCAGGGGTTCTAACAGCATTTATGAGCCAGGGAAGCAGTAAATGCACCGTGCACATCTCTTGCCTGCCAAGGCAGAGGCAGGTAAAAAAACGTGGAGGAAAAGCTCAATTTGCTTCTTGCTCAGGTCTTTAAAAACACAAGTACTGATAGCAGGGGCTACAACAGGTTTGAAAAGGCCAGAACAAGCTATGAAAAGGTTGTGCTGTAAAACGTGGTATTCTTTGGAGGAGGAAGAGCATTGCTGGGAGCTAAACCTGGTGCTCGAGCAAGGCCTGGAACAGGAGTTCTGGAGAGTGACTGGTGTTGGCAGGGGTGACCGAAGTGCTGGAGAGGTGGGCAAGAAGTGAGGCAGTGAGACTTGGTTTATTCAGTGCTCATCCTCAGCTATTGATAACTTGAGCACTGACATTTCTTTAAATTATTTTTATCCTGAGGGTGGCAGCTTTTATTGAAAGTGAGGGGGCTTCTTGAAGCTTTCACTTCAAATTAAATAAAAAAAAAGAGAAAGAAAAAGTTTGGATGACAGTCTTACAGAGCTGGAATGGAAAATAACTTTCCCTCTTACATAGATGTGCAGAACTACATAATTTCTGTGTATGAAAAATAATCACTCAGGCCCAGGTTTCTTTGGGAACGGCAAGTTTCCTTGCTGTTGCTGAAAGTGAAATGGTATAGGCTTCTCACTGCCTGGTTTTGCTCTTATTTTTAGGGACCTTGCTGCCAGAAACTGCCTTGTAGGGGAGAACCACTTGGTGAAGGTGGCAGATTTTGGCCTCAGCAGGCTAATGACAGGCGACACGTACACTGCCCATGCCGGAGCAAAGTTCCCCATCAAGTGGACTGCCCCAGAAAGCCTGGCCTACAACAAGTTCTCCATTAAATCCGACGTCTGGGGTAAGACTTTGCATGTATGAATTAATGCAGATTATTGTCATCTTGTCCAGGGCTGTGAGCTGAGAGCGCTGCTGAACATTTCAGGAGGGAGCACGTTCCCTGGTTTGAGCCCTATTGTTCCATGAGCTTGTCAGAGTGCAGGAACTAATCTCTGCTAAGTCAGTCCTTGAGTGGAGCACTGAGAATGCCAGCCTGGCTTTTTGTGCTTGATTCATTGGCAAATATGAAAATAAAGGATACTGTAGTGCTTATAGAAATGTATGAAATGGGGCTGGGGGCACCAGTACTACTGCCTTAATAGGCACAGGACTAGGAAGCACTATGCTGTTGTACAGCCAGGAGCTTTCTATTTCAAGGAGGAAAGCAAGAATCTGGTTCATTCTGCATTAAAAAAACATACACAACTGTGTGTGTATCTGTCTGGAGATAGCTCCAAGTTCTTCTTTCTGCATTTTCAAAGAATAATCTTTAGAATGAGATGAGGAAAAATCAGAGTGAAAATTTGATGACAAATGGTTATTGAAGAGCCCTGAGGTGCTGGTGATAAGCGTAGGCTTAACTAAATGGAGCTATATTCTATCAAATCTGACTGCAGAAAAACTCATTGTACTTTTAATCAGCCTTTCTTTGGGTTTTATATCTCTGCCATAGCTTGGTCAAATCCTCAAAAGTGCCCAGTGACATGAGATAGAAGTCTGTGGGATGTGGTCCCAAAGGCACTTGGAAAATGTTATCCTGAGCATCTTCTATATAGAAAACCACAGACAGTGGTGAAGTAGCCATGAAGTTTACTGGAGTCTGGGGAGAACTGCAAAGAAAGGCTTTATTTTGAAGAAACTGATGCTAAATATTTGATAGGCAGGGGAGGAAACCCAAAAGAGCCCCCAAGGAGTATGCGGTTGCTGACCAGGGTGTTTCTTCTGTTTTGGACTTGTATACGGTGGTGTTGGCTGCTCCTGGTACCTGCTACAGTCTCAAGGATGGATGCTGCTGTATCACTGCGGTGGCTGCAGGATCCCTGTTTCATTCAAATAGGAGAGTACTTGGAGAAGAAAGATCCAAAAGGAGTATTGGATATCTTTAATTAGGGTTAACGTAACCTCGCGTGGTGAGAGCTTGGGCAGAGGACTTTGAGATCTGATTAGAGCAAGCCAGCTGTCCCCAGAGGCTATGGCTGCTGCTGGGCACGCCAGAGTTTAGATGCTTTCACCTCAGTGCCTCCAGACAGCAATCAAAGAAAATCGTGCACAGAAATGTCTAATGTAAATTGCCCTTGGTGGTGTTACCATGTAATGTGATGTGATTTCCTTACTTATGCAGAATTGTAATCGCTTTCTCTTCAGGTTAAGAACAGAATAGGGTGACTGAACTAATTACATGCAGGTTGTTGAACTGCTGTTGAGCTTATTCTGTGTGCTCGACTCCTGGGTTAGCTGCCTGACCCTGGGGTTGACCTGCATCCCCATCAACTCTGGGGACTTGAATGCCTGTTTCAAGACCCTTTTTGTACTCTCCCTTTTCCCATTCAGCTTTCCCTGTGCCCAAACTGTCTCAGCCTCACCCTGTCTTGTCGGTAGCAATTGCTGGAACTTCCTTCTCATGCTGCTTCCAGGGTTTCCCCTCTAGATCATGCTGCAGCTAAACAAGGGCACCCCAAAACCAGTGAGCTATTAAAGCGTGCCAGTCCTTTAGGGAGAGATTGCAGATGAGAGGAGCTGTCAAACTGAGGGAGAGACTGCAGTGCAGCAGTGAAACCCTTTCAACTAATCCACTGTGAAGTCTCTTAATTGTGCCTTTAATAGGACTTGAAGGATCTCAAGGCATTCAGGTTTGAGACAACTGATACATTGAAAATTAGTCTAATTCTACCCTGTCATATCGCAGGAGACTTGTCTGTGCTGACGAAGAGGCTTGTTACGCTTCCTTAACGTTTAAGCTGCTGCTGAGCATGGGATCTGAGCCACCCGGAGCTGGTTTAAGTGTGCAGCACTGTTTAGTAACTAGTCCCACTAAACATTCTCTCACATTTAAGATGAAAACAAAGGTTATTGATTTATGTTATCCCCCTTTCTCTTTGGTTCTTTCTTTCTCCACTGCAGCCTTTGGCGTTCTGCTGTGGGAAATTGCAACCTACGGTATGTCCCCTTACCCTGGCATTGACCTGTCTCAAGTCTATGAGCTGTTGGAGAAAGACTACCGCATGGAGCGCCCCGAAGGCTGTCCTGAGAAAGTCTATGAACTCATGAGAGCATGTAAGTGTTCCTCAGGCCTGCAAATGCTGCTTTTTAGCTCTGCAGAAGTGCAGTAAAAGTGCCAGGATCTGGCCACATAGATCAAGGCATGAAGAACCCCCTGCCAGTTGTGTAGAAATGTTTGGTTCAAGCTGCTTTCCCCAGAAGATGAACACATGATGAAACCAACTATTCTTCTCTACTGGGAGCACACAGGCCTGGGGGAGATGTGTGTTGTTCATCTCGCTGTTTTCTTTGTCTCCTTTTCCCTGACAACTTAAAGAAAAGCTTGTGCTGTAAGGATGAAGCAGGAGCTTTATTAGGCTTCTTGCAGGACTGGCTGTTATTCTTCCACTGTGGCCCTTTGGTACGTGACTTAGTGCGGTACATTTATTTTCTTCCAGCAGTGCTCAGCGCCTGCTGTTCTATCCTGCCATGGGAATCTGATGTAAAGGGTGCTAGGTGTCTGCAACCATCACTGAGCTGAAGTGGTTGCAGGCACCCATATGAACCACATTCCCATGTCAGTATTTTCTCTCACTCATTTTATAAAAAGGGAACTGCAAAGCCAGCTCCTCCTGGTGCAGTGCACTGAATGCCTAATGCTGGTGGGAAGTTCTGAGTGGTGGTGTTTCTCTTTCAGGCTGGCAGTGGAGCCCTTCCGATAGACCTTCCTTTGCTGAGATCCATCAGGCCTTTGAAACCATGTTTCAGGAATCCAGCATATCGGATGGTAGGTGTGGGTTCCTCTCGGACCGGCAATTCCAGGGATGGGAAAAGGGCCACATTGTTCCTAAGCTGTTTTGTAGTGAAACTCAGTGCTAGGTTATGTACTGCCTGGTGTAAGCAGCATAGAAAGCAGAGGTGCCTTTATATGAGGGCTTTGTTTCTGGGCATACGATTGATTTTAAAGGGCAAAGTGGCTGAACAGCCTCAAAGAACCTCTGCTTTGTGTTGTTTGCTTTTCTCTTGTGCTGTTAACTCTGAACAGCGCAGTAGGGCTTTTTATCTTCTGTGGATTGTAGTGATTGTTTTTCTTCTGTGTATTGCAGAGGTGGAGAAGGAATTGGGAAAGAAGGGCATGAGGAGCGTAGTGAGCAATTTCCTGCAAGCCCCAGAGTTACCAACCAAAACACGAACATCGAGGAGAGCTGCTGAAAGCAAAGATGCCAATGAGGGCTTGGAGGCTGCACATGCTCGAGGCCAGGGGGAGTGTGGTAAGTTTTAATTAAAGTCATTATTCCTTCAGGAAACACAGAGGGAAATAAAATGTGTGTCCTGCTCCAAGTCTTCACCTAGGCAGAGCTGTGCCTAATAACAGGTGCCATCTCTCCGTACCAGTATTGTGCTTCTGGGTGACAGGCTGCTGAGCTTGCTTCCACGGGTTCAGAACTCCTTTTATTATCTTTTGCAGAGGTAGGTTGCTAATCCTGGGACCAGATCCAGCAGCTGAGAGTGTGAGTCCTTAACTGCAGCGGGATCGGCACTATACCTGCCGTTGCTTAGAGAAGCCCTAGGAATTCTTTCAACTTAATAGCTGTTGCCTGCAGCTCCCTTTAGACCAGAGCCTGAGAACAGAACTCTCTGATCATATCCTCTCCCAATTCCCTGTTAGGAGCTATCAGTGGGGTCTCCCACTGCATCCAAGTGTTGGGTAATCTGCTGTGTTCAAGCCACTTTACACTACCACGTTGCATTATTTAAAGCAGGACGATTGCTCAGGTTTAGCAAACCCCATAAGGGAGGTTTCTTCACTGTTCCATCCTACCAGATTTGTGCTTGCAGCACTGAAGAGTATTACTCTTGGCAGGTACCAAATATAATTTCAGCAAGGGACAGAAAGGTATTTACAGAATCTTCTATAAAATTAAACTCTCATTCAATCAGTTCCTTCAAGCACTTGCCTTCCCTTCTGAGGTAATAGAAGCAGTGATAAGATGCAGCATGTAAACAGGAGACTTGTATCTAGTTCATTTGGAAAATAACAAGGTAAAACAAAAGACAGTGTATTTTCCATCCCCTGTTGAGGCTGCCTTCTCTGGCCATTCATGTGACTGACCTTTTTTGTGTAATGTCACATTCACCTAGAAGTACATGTTTCAGTAGCAGATGTACATCCAGGCAAAGAGAGGAAAAAAGAGGGGATGTAAAATGTTGGAAAAAAGGAAGTATCAGTGACTTAAGAAGGTTATTTACCATATATAGGAAATATAATTGCCTACTATTACAAGCTTTGAAGTAAAATAACTTCATTTAAATACTTAAGGGCTTTGAGAGATTCAGGTGCAGCAGGAATAATACGATTTTAACATTATGCTGGGAATCATTTCACTCTTTATTGTGAAAGAAAATATTTCACATTAAAGTTCCGTTGCAGTTCCCCCTTCTATTGTCAGTGTTTCCATAGCAAGGAAGCTGATCCTCTGTGCAAGCTGCTAGTTTTCTGTGAATCTCCACAGTAAGGTCTTGTAGAAGTGTACTGTCTTCTCAGAGTACACAGCTATTTTTCTTCCATTCTCTCTTCTCCACCAGAATCCCTTCCTCAGCCAAAATCCTACCCAGAGCATGATAATCACCAATATGTGACTAAGAAGCATCCTCCTTTTCCCCTATGACTCTGCCTCATCTGCCTTCTTGCTGCCTAGTTGAGCTGTAATGTCTATGTGCCCTGAAGGCATTGCTCCTCTGAATTATAATGCCATCTGAGTGCCTGGTCTGGGAATGAGACCCCCTGTCAGTCAAATACAGGGACCTTCAGGACTCCATATAAATTTATTATAAGCCACTATTCATTTTTAAATACTTCTTGTAAGTGGAGAAAGGGTCACCCATCATTTCCTTTTGGAGCAGTGCTGCTGGAGGAGGCTGCTATTGCCACTTCCCTCCGTTATTGCACGAAGCTGGCCATCGTCATGGTGGTAGGACCTGCAGTGTTCAGCTGTCAAAGGGTGCCATGATTCCTGCTTGTGAAAAAGTTATTTCCATTCCCCACAAAGGATAATGTTAGGAAAAGAGGTTAGGAGTATCAGAATTTAAATGCCCAAGGAGGCTGGGGATGGAGGTGGGTTACAGAGATGTCTTATTAATTCAGATGGTCAGCTGTTCGAAAGACAGCAACAGCTCAGGGACTGAAAGTCTCTTAATATTTATCTTCTTCACAGTGTGATGTTTAGACAAGTCTCCAGATATGAGGGTGGAAATCTGAACATAAACATTTCGTGTTTGTCTGTCGCTGTTTAAATCAGAAGCCTACAGGGAAAGTAGTTTGGCAGCCAAATCCTGTAGAAGCCACCTTAGAAGTGAATGTATACAGGATTAGGGACCACGTTCAGTGCAGGCTTGAGTGTGGCTGTACTTGCTTTACTCATGGTCTGAAGTTGTCTCTCTTCACAGAACCTGCACCTTTTGGAGGTGCTGCAGTGGTTTCATCCTGGAAGAAAACTGATTTTTGTGGCTCTTGAAGCAGCACTCAGTAGACTCTTTTCTGTCCCTTGCAGATCCTCTGGATCATGAACCTGCTATTTCCCCCTTACTCCCACGGAAGGAGAGGGTGGCCCTGGAGAGCAGTTTGAATGAAGATGAGAGGCTGCTTCCAAAAGACAAGAAGCACAACCTCTTCAGTGCCCTTATCAAGAAGAAGAAGAAGACTGCCCCTACCCCTCCGAAACGGAGCAGTTCCTTCAGAGAGATGGATGGCCACTCAGACCGCAGGGCAGGTGGGGAGGAGGAGTGCAGGGATCCTGGTAATGGAGCTTTCATTGCACCCCCTGCAGACCCAGCTGACCCCTCCAAGTTCCAGAGCCCAAGCAATGGGGCTGGTGTCACCAACGGGGTTGTCCCTGGGAACTCTGGATTTCTATCTCCCCATTTAGGGAAGAAGTCCAGCACGATGAGCAGCAGTCGAGGGGTGGCTGGTGAAGAGGAGAGTAGTTCCAGCTCCAGCAAGCGTTTCTTAAGGTCCTGCTCAGCCTCCTGTGTGCCCCACGGAGCAAAGGACACAGAGTGGAAATCTGTGACTCTGCCTCGGGATTTGCAGTCCACAGGACGCCAGTTTGATTCCTCCACTTTTGGGGGACACAAAAGTGAGAAGCCAGCACTGCCTCGGAAGCGGGCAAATGAGACCAAGACTGACATTGCTGTCAGGGGAACAGTGACCCCTCCTCCAAGGCTGCTTAAGAAAAATGAAGAGACCACGGATGATGTGTTCAAAGATGCAGAGTCGAGCCCTGGCTCCAGCCCTCCCTCCCTGACGCCAAAACTTGGCCGTAGGCAACCTGCTGCCCCTCCTTCCTCCAGCGTGCTCCACAAGGATGATGGAGTCAAATCCAGTGCCTTAGGTACCACTGTGACGATGGACCAAGGTTCTGCTGCCAAACCCAGCCCTGCTGGGTTCGTGGGTGCCAGCAAGGCTTCCTCTGAGGAGCCACGACTGAGGAGGCTCAAGCAGACCTCGGAGTCAGCAGGGAAGGACAAAGGGAAGTTGTCGAAGCTGAAACCAGCACCTCCACTTCCGCTCTCTTCATCCTCCGTCAGCAAGCCTGGGAAGGTTTCTCACAATCCCAGCCATGAAGCAGCAGCAGAGGTGGTGTCTGGGCCGAAATCCAAACAGTTGACTCAGGTTGGAGAGGCTGCAGGCAGTGATGCTGTCAAGCCAAACCAGTCAGGGGAAGGTGTGAAAAAGCTGGGGATCCCTTCTGTACCAAAGCCACAGTCCTCTACAAAGCTGCTGATGAGCACGGCAACCCCAGCTGCCTCTTCCTCAGCAGTACCCTCTGCCTCAGGTGGGGACCAGCCATCATCTACAGCCTTCATCCCTCTCATATCCACCAGGGTCTCGCTGCGAAAGACCCGGCAGCCCCCGGAGAGGATCGCCAGTGGCACCATCACTAAAGGGGTGGTGTTGGAAAGCACGGAGGCCCTGCGGATCGCCATCAGCAAGAACTCTGAACAAATGGCAAGCCACAGCGCTGTCCTGGAGGCTGGCAAGAACCTCTACACCTTCTGCGTGAGCTACGTGGACTCCATTCAGCAGATGAGGAACAAATTTGCCTTTCGGGAGGCCATCAATAAGCTGGAGAACAACCTACGGGAGCTTCAGATCTGCCCAGCAACGGCTGGCAGCGGGCCTGCAGCCACCCAGGACTTTAGCAAACTTCTCAGTTCAGTGAAAGAAATCAGTGACATTGTTCAGAGGTAGCAGAAACCAGGTTAAAAACCAAAATAATAATAATAATAATAACATAAAATCACCATGGGCCAAAGCCAACTGTGGAGAGAGCGACATGTGGACTGGCAAAGGACTGTGGGCGTTCAGCTTAGGGCTGTGAGAAAGACACAGACTGTGAATGGATGCCCCAGCTCCAAAGGGCAGGGCTGTGTTCAAGAGGCACTTTCCACCCTCTTAACTCAGTTTCCCTGTGTTTCTTATACTTGTAATCGTCTTATCTGTGGAGTTCTTGCCTTGTGGACTACAAGTCTAAATGCTGATGTCACACCATGCCTTTTTAGTAATATTTTATTGCTCTGGACAGACCATTAGGACTGAAGCCAGACTGATGGACACTGAGATGCCATCCTCCTCAGGAGGAACTTCCTAATGCATTTTCATCCCCTCCTTCTGCCCCACTGTACACATGGATGAGTGTTTGAATAGCAATATACCCACTGTGTTACTTGGGAGAGCTGCAGCAGGTGTGCCTGGCCCAAGTCTGATGTCTACCTGACATTAATGCAACAGATTTGGTGCTCGGGAGGGAAGGGGGGAAATGGTTAATGTAAGGGGAGTTTTAATGACAGAGTGCTACAAGTGATGTTTGCTCAGATTCTCCCTCTGATTCCACCTGATGCCCTTTGTGTTTTGTTTTCATTAATTTCTTTATGCTGTTGAGATGAATTGCTTGGGCTCAAAATGTTGCAGGCAGCACTTGCCGATGTAGTGGCACTGGAGCCTCTTTGTGGATCTCCCTTGGTAGTGAAAAGAGACCACTGAAGGTCTGAAGAAGGATGTGCTGTCACACTCTTGTGATATCCAGTGTTAACCAGGCTGGTGTTTGGGGTGGAGGGTTGCAGAGACCGGGGAGCAGGAGGATGGTGCTGAGCAAGGCATTGCTCCCTGGAGGACCAGAGGGTTGCAGCAGGGGAGGTGGCTCAGGATGGATTCAGAGACACCACTGTGCCTCTAGCACTGGTTTCAGCTGAGCTCACCCATCACGGATGGGTGAGAACTGCTGATTCTCTCATTGACTTTCCAGCTCTTTGTTCTGGCAGGGGAGGTGAGACCTGGCTGCTGCCCTGCCACAGAGACCTGTCCTTTGAGGGGCCCTGATGCCTCCTTGCCTGTGCCAATGAAGATGCCAGTACTTTGGGGTTAAAACCGTCACTACCCTCATGCCGGTGCAGTTCCATCCAGCATCAAACAAGGATCTGTGAAGACTGCAGAGGCTTCTCTTAGGTGCATCTCCCAAGGAAACTGCCACAAAACGCTGACAGCAGGACTCCTGGGCTTCCTTTCCAAGGTCCTGCGACCTTCCCAACTAATGCAACAAGACTGGGAACTAACTGTGACTTGGGACAATGGTGAAAGAGCAAGGTTTAGGGCTATTAACAGTGCAATTTAACTCCTCTTAACAGTTCCAAACATGAGGAAAAAAAAAGCGTTTTCCATGTTCCTGTTCCCCTATAACTCTTGTGACCCCTCTTGTGTATCTTAAACACTAATTGCCTTCAATTGTATTTTATGCTGTTCTCTTTGGGACTGTTTTTGTATATGATTTCTAGTAGTTCACTCGTGTGTGTTCACGCCATTTCTCGCCCTCACAAACAGCCATGACTTAACACATGACAAATGGTCAAAGGAAAATACACACTTCTGCCACAGGCTGCCTTGAAAAATGTAAGGAGAAAAACCCCAGCCCAACCCTTGGACTGTCTCTTTCCTGGAGGTACTGTTTTTACTTTGATAACATATTGTGCCACTATATTATACATTTGTATCTCGTTATTACACACTTTTGTAGACTTGTCTTTTTTACAGTGTGTAAATAGCTCTGTCCTTCGTCTCTGTGATACCTAAGGGGGCTGTTTCCCCTTGAATTTGGTCCAGTACGGATTGTTTCTGTACACGACTTTCAATTCTTCCTTTTCTCTCTCTCTCTCTTTCGTTGTTTTGATTTATTTTTTATTCCAGTCTCTCTTGCGTAGTATATTTAAAAATAAATCAATGTTGAGGAAAACCTGCGTTTGTCTGTTGGAAGCCTCTTCTAACCCTGGTACCTCCCCTTAGACTCTGTCCAAAACCAGCTTCCCTGTGTAGGTGGTCAAGAGCTAGACAGCAGCATCTTTTCCGTGTCCTTTTTGATCTGGCCCTGAAAAGTCAGGAGAGAAATAAGATGCACAGAATAAAGACTGCGTCGTCATCTCTTTTGAGTCACTTTGCTCTTGTTTTTGGTGAGGTTTAAATCAGAGATTTGACTTTAAACTTTTCAGCATAAATTGTTATAACAGACTGGTTTGGGTCGGAAAATACCTTAAAGCTCCTCCAGTTCCAACCCCCTGCCACGGGCAGGGACACCTTCCACTAGAGCAGGTTGCTCCAAGCTCCATCCAGCCTGGCCTTGAACACTGCTAGGGATGGGGCTGTTCATCTTCCTGATAACTGTTTGTGTTCCACAGTTCAGCTGCTGTTGTATTTTCCTCTTCTGCTATAAAATGATCTGTGGTTTCTTTCCTCAGACAGTTCTGGCTGCTCCCTCCCTCATTTCTGGTTGTCCACGCTTATTTCCTGTTTTCACATCACCTTCAGCCTTCCCAGCAAATCTTGAGGGAAGGACATATCCAGGTACTAAGCAGGCTCTGAAATGAGGTACTGCCTTGATTAACAAAGATGCAAAAGATGGAAAAAGGATGAGAAGGGAACAAGGGCAGATGGTGAATGGTGTGCCCGAGGTCCTGCAGTTACTCAGTGATGGTTTAGGGTTATAACCCTGCTCGTTTGTTTTCTAATCCCCTCAATAAGTCTGTCCTGGCACAGGGAACTGCTTGCTCGTCAATGGGAACAAGGCTCATTGGAAACCTGGTCTTGCTTGTGACAGCAATTGCATTGAGCCATTTCTAAATGAGCCTGAAGAAGATGGAAAGAGGAGCGGGAGGATACTGTTGGCAATCATAAACGCAGTAAATGGGCTGCACTTGGCAAGGCTCAGGCTGCCTCTCAGCACTGTGGTGATCTCCATGCAGAGCTACAGGGGGTTCCTGGTGGTTTTGTGACTGTGACCCTGGTAAAGAACAATGTCCAGGCTGCCCTTTACATGCAGCTATAGTGTAAAGCCTTGAATAGTGGTGGGCTGAGGGAAGATGAAGCTTAACCTGCCCCTAAATACAACTGCTCCCCATGATCTCCATCTCAGTGTGCTCAGGGACCAGACCATGGTTGCATGGGCAGGCAGGGGCCAGTTGATGGGGCTGGGGAAAGCCCTGGATCTGCAATGTTGGGAGTGGGATTAAAGGCTAAATTTAGCTGAGTACAGTAGGAGTTGATTTAACAGATCAATGCATTTAACAGTTTGATTGCTCCAATTTTCAAGGCTATTGAGCTTAAAAGTGAGAGTGCTCTGGAGGAAAAATAGCTGTCGTGTTTTTGTTTTGGTTTTTCATGTCTTTGAAATTACAATGTTCATTCTGTCAAGTTTTCCTTTAATGTCATCCTGCCTTTTGTTGAGAAGTTGCTTGTCACAAGATGTAAAGTGTGGTCAGTATTTTATGCTCACGCTTTCTCTCAAAAGGAGAAGAAAGTTATTAAGGATGGGTTGGTGTCTCATAGAGATGCTGCTGGACCAGCGTGCTGCCTGGCCCAGGGATGATTGGGGGTCAGCTGATAGCCTCTTCCTTCCCTGACATTAATTCTTGCACGGTTGAAAAGAGAGGAGAATAGACCTAAAGGCTGTGTCACCCTGGAAGAGGTGGTTCCAGGTGTCACACTGGCATCTCAAAGCGCATGGCTGCTAGTCCAGGTGTGGTTCCTGGCTTGGGTGGGTTGCTGAGAATGATGCTTCTGGATAAACCTTCCTCTCTGGTCAGTCCTGATGCCTTGGCAGTGCTGTTGGTGCCCTGAAACTGTGGGTTAGGACCAGCCCTGCAAGTCTTTTGACTGTTTAGGCAAGGCTCAAACCTATCGCCCTGAAGTGCTGCTTGGTGTTTTATCAGGGCTAGATCCAGCTCAGCAGAAAGCATACCTGCGACCCAGGCTACACTGAAGTGCTTCCCCAGCAATCACCCCCCTGTCGAAGGCTGTGTTTGTCCTAACATCCAGTGTGCTGATAGAGGTCCTACCCCTGCTCCCAAAGCTGCAGTGCTGAATGACCCATTTATGATGCATTACCCACTTCATGAGTCCCATGGACATGATTAAATCGTGTTCTTTCTCCACAGAGGATCCACTTGGGTTTCTGAGATTTGCTGCTGCTGTTGTATGAGTGTGTATAGTGCTGCAGGGCTGCTTGGGGTGGGGAGCAGCCTATGGGGATGGAGCAGATGAGTGGAGATAGGGCCAGGGGAAGGACCAAGGTTGTGCTCTGGTCAGGGAAGGACAACAGTGTTTTATAGAGGGTCCCAGCAGTGGTGTGATGGCACCAAGTGTCTGCATCGGTCCTTGCATGGCTGAACCCACTGGCCATGTGTAGAAGCATCCAATGCTACCTGGTGCTGTCCCTTTGTGGGCTGTTTGCATGACAGTGGCCTTGCCCTGCCTTGTCCACACTGCTGCCTGTGTGACCATGTCACAACTAATCTGGCTCCGTCTGTGTGCAGGTGGGTTCTGAGCTCTCCACTCAAAGGTGTTGGGGGCCTGGGTGTTTCCTTGGGGGCTGCCCCACAAAGGGATCTGAGAGGGGTGTGTGTTCCAATGGGAACTATCCATGTCCGGCATGCAGGGATGGGCTTTCCAACCTCCCAGGGGTCACTCCTGGTGTGTTCTCCCTCTCCCTCCTCCCAGACAACACCCCCAGGCTCCAGGCAGTTATTTTCCATTCACTTTTACCTTCTCCACCAAGCCTCAATCACCAAGGAGCAGCAGTGAAGAGCCTGGAGCGCTGCCTGTTCCCATCGGCCATCCCAAGGAGTGCCCCTTTCCCCCCCCCCCCAGGGTAAGGAGGATGATGGCACCATCCCCATGGCATCCCTATGCCCATCAAGGAGCCCTGGGGTGCCTGGGCTGAGTCCTGCTCTGTTCCAGATACCAGGTAAGCGCTGTGGGAAGCTCTGGCTTTTACTTATGAATAAGTTATACAGAGGGTGGTTGTGCTTCAATCAGAGCCTCATTATACATATGGTTTTATCACGCTGCTCTGACCCTATTCCTCCCCTGGACTTAAGAGCAGGAGCTCAGGCATCCCCCCAGGCCCCACCATCACCCAGCAGGTTTCCTTTCCCTTCCCACAGCGCACGGTGCCACTTTTCCCTGCAGCGATCCATCACGGCAAAGCCAGGGATTTACCCGCCTTTGCTAACCCAGTGTTGCTCCGGAGCTCTTTGCCCTCCCTCCCTCCCATCCCTCCCCTCCCCAGCTCCAGCGCAGGGTAAAATTGATCAATGCATGCTTATTGATGGTTTGAATGCTCAAAAGAAAGGGGGGGGGGGAAGAGACGTTGCCATAGAAACATCGATAACGTTCCTGTCTCCGCTGCGCCTGCGTCCCCTGGACCCACAGCCTTTGCTGGGAGCCGGGAGGGATCAGGGTTGGGATTGGGGTGCCCAGGGTGGGTTCAGCCCCCCCCCCGGGTGCCACTGGGTTTGTTGGTCGCTGCTGTGGTCCCCATGGTGCGAGATGCAGCAGGGATGCAGGGGAAGGGAAATGCCCTTCCTCTCATCACAGCCAGCACCATCCTCATGCAAAGACCAAACCCTGATCACCTCTATTCCTGGACTCCCTCCCATTTCATGCCCATGGGGCTGTGACCCACATGTAGGTCCCTTCACCAGCCCCTGCCTCCATCACTCCTCCCTAGACCTGGTGTTTTCTTGCAGGTTCCAGCTTGAATCCATTCCCCCTTCAGTCCCACACCGCTCCCGCTGCTAGAGCAGCTCGCCCTGGCCCAGCAGTGCTGTATTAAGTGGTCTGTCTACTGATGGACTTTATAATGCGTGTCTTGGAGCCTGATTTCCAACCCCCACCCCCCCCAACCAAGTCTTGCCACAGTCTTTGATTTTGAGGGTGCAATTTAGCTCTTGCAAATCATTGCCCTGCTTCGTTTCTGTGCCTGCAATGAAGTATTAGCAGTCGTTTGGTGTCTAACTTGCTGTTAGTGCCTGCAAACCAGGTAGTTAGACCTCTGATTACTAATATCTCTTGCCTGCAGTGGCAGGCACAAAAGCAAATGTCGTCATTGGCATTGGCAGAGCTAAATCTGTCCAGAGGAGGAGAAGGCTGAAGATGAGGCTTATCCTCTGCTGGATTTTGGGGCTCACACGTCCCCAAGCTGCACTGTTGGCAGTGGAGGGGACTGGAGAGCAGGAGCACACCGAGCACCCATTTGTGGCCCTGGGGAGGTGCAGAGGTCCTTGTTTCAGCTCCTCTGCACCCAAGTTACTGCAGGGATTACAGCAGGAGCAAGTGGTGATAAGGCACCAGGAAGGGCAAGTGCTGGGTGATGTGACAAGGACACTGAAGGTCAGTCATCACCCCCTCACCCTGGTCGCTCTGACAGGTCCTGGGCCAGGCAGTGGGGCTGCAGCAGGACTGGGGATGCCAGGGCAGATTTCTGTGCTCCCTGCAGGGGTTTCCAAGGACAGGATTTTCTCAGCCCACTGGCTCGCACGCAGGAGCTCGTGTGAGCAGCATCTTGACACTAAGCAGAATTTGCTGCCAGAGGGACTTTTCCTTAGCAGGCAGGAGAGCAGCAACGCCACAGCTCTGTGGAGAGCTCTGAGGGTCCTGCTCCTTCCCGACAGCCCTGTACCACAGATACCGGCACCATCAGCACTGCTGTAACCCTTCGGCCCCTCTGTGGCCATGCCAGCTCTGCCTGTCCTGGTGCAGCATCCCTGTGCCGCAGACAAGGCTACGTGTGACAGGGGCTTCTTCTTAAGGCACCCTCCTCATCTTCCATTGCACTGGCTCCGGATGGAACAGGAGAGCTGGAGCAGGGCTGCAAGCGGAGCACACACTCTGTTCCCCTTCCCCAAGCAGCAAACACTCCCCCCCCCATACCCTTCTGCCCAAGCAAACCCAGATGAGACGGAAG